TCTCTCTCTCTCTCTCTCTCTCTCTCTCTCTCTCTCTGTTTGTGTTTATTTATGGCCAAATGCAATAGAATAGTATTTTCTATTTGAACATAGATGAAGACGTATTACTTGAGCAAATGAAGTCTACCAGTGTCTACAATAGAAAGGAGTATGACTGCCCAACTACCAGTACTCTTAAATTGTTTAAAGTTTCTAAAAGCCATGCTATGTCCAGAAGTTCCCCTCCCGTAATTTTAAACTGAATTTATTTCCATCCACTCTTCCAAGACACTCCCTAGAGCTTGGAGTCAATGACATGTATGAGCTACTCACTGCTGAGCACACAACCACTTCTCAGCACTTTTACTAGTCATGAGCATCTGCATTAAGTCTACTTTTACTTAACAGATACATTTTACTTTGATGTAACTGTGCGTACATTTATCACATAATGTAATGTAGGATGATTGAGAATCATATAAAATTGGAATACAATATTGTATTCAAAAATAATTCTCATGACAACATGAATTATCATGTTAACCTTTACACTCTCAAATTCTGGACAACTTCTATATGTTTTAAAGCATAAATATTGAAACAGAATCTGGCCAAAATGAAAGACACTATGACTTTCAAAAAATGTAATATGTGACAATAAAATATGAAATTAATCACATTTGTTTCAGAAAACTTGGAAAATACAGGCTTTTCAGTGTGTGACAATTTGTGATTTTATGCATATCTTATGGATTTGTATGATTTTTGAAGATTTTATCTGCCACTAGAATTTTATATCTATTTTAAAGACAAACAAATATGACATTAGTTTGCAGAGAATTATCCACTGTGCCTTACAATGTGATAAGATTCGGGAATAATTCTAATAGACAGCATGTATGAATCGATTCTGACAACATGGTTACCACATGAATGGAATGACTTTATTTTACATTATATAATAACAACCACACAAAAACTCCATAATCCACTTGAATTTAAAGCTTTAAAAGTGTGTATATATTCCTCGTTAAGTAAATATCTTTTCTATTAGAAATAAATATAATTTTATCACTTTTCTAATAACAAGATTTGGCAATATTTAATTAGTAGTAAGATTGTTTAAAGTAGATACTGCTTTAAAATTGATGTCTATGATGTGATGTGAGAAGATCAGTAGCTAAACAGATGTTACTTGTTGTTTATCATTGCTCTTTATGACTAACTAATTTGCTTAATAAGGACACCTTTATACAATCCTGTTTCTAGCATGGATCATTTCAAGAATCATGCTTTGTTACATGTACAGTTCTCCATATGGAATCATGACATATATTAAGAAATAATCATGAGTGACATATGTGAATCATGGAAGAATTTGTTGCTTTGATGCATGAAAGTACAGTTTGTTGAATGCTTACAAGTTGTAGAAAAATCTGTCATTCATTGTACTGATTTCTTTGTATAGAAAATATGACTTAATATTTCCAATTATTAATCACTTTGTAAAATAATAACATTATATACCCAAACAAACAATATCTGTTCCTTTGAAGTAAATAACCATTTAAGATCACATATGAGGTGACTACTATTTATTAAGTAGTGGGTGAACCATAAAAACAAAACATGAAAGCCACAAATTTTGACTAAGCTTCCATATTTCAAAGACATCACAAAACTCTTTTTTACTGAAAACAAAATACTTGGTGTTGCCTGACCTGACTTCCTGATTCAAGAACTTTTCCCGTCAAACAAATTTTATTTCTTAAAACTGCATTTATGTTCCAAGTCAATTACAAGCTGAAAATGTTTTAAATGCTGAACATTATTCCATCTTCTATGAAGCTATCATCTTGCCAAGGGTTTTTGGCTTACTTAGGGAAAAACAGCTCCAACTACCCAGAATAGGTTTCTTCTATGAAAGCTTAAAGCTATTCTGAATCTTGAAGTGCTTTTCATATTTCTATAGAATTGCCTCTACAAATTAATCATTTCTTTTACAAATGAAAATTGAAATCACAAGTAGCAAAAGCCCTCCAAGATGCTTTAGCAAGTTTTATGGAGTTTTATATATCGTTTACAACTAATAGAAAATGTTATGTACCAAGCTGATTGTGTTTTCAAATTTCATATTGTATTTAGAGCTGTTTCAAAGGAAATAGTTATCTTAGTATACAAGTAGTTAAATGTGAAAATATTTTCTCTGTCAATTTTATGGGATTTCTAATCATCTTGACACACAGATTTATAAAATGAACACAAAAATTACCAAAAGCTTGCTATTGATTAATTTGATTTCAAGTGTTGATCTGCCTTAACTCACAAATATAGTTTTTATCAAAATGAAAAAAAAATTGTTCTTGGCTAAAAGAATTTCTCACCAACGCCGAGTCTCCCTGCACACTGTCATGCTTTCAACCATAATGATAATGAACTAAACTTCTGACTTTGTAAGCCAGCCTCAATTACAAGTTTTCTTTTACAAGAATTGCCATGGTTATGGTGTCTCTTAACAGCAATCGAAACCCTAACTAAAACAGTGCAGTATATTTATGTATGCTTCTATGTGAATGTGAGCCAGAGATTAGTGCTGGGGTCTTTCTAAGTATCTCCTCAATTCATTTATTCATTTTTTAAAAAAATAATGTCTTTTATAGAACCTGAAGATGCCTATAGATAGTCTACTTGGCTTACCAGCCACAGAAATCCAGGAATCCCACCCCACCCCCACCCCCACGCCCACCCCCACCTCCACCCCCACCCCCACCCCCACCCCTGGGAAGGAAGTACTGTGGTCATGTGATTTCAAGGTCCACTCATCTTTGACATTGGTGCTGAAGATCCATGTTCAGGTCCTCCTACTTGAGCTGAAAACACTATAGTGACTGGTGTAGCTCTTCAGCTACCGTTTATCATCCTATGTTTGTTAAATGCTTTCTTTTTATACTTTTGAGAGGTTTCTTTTTTTTTTAATTTTAAACAGTCTTTTTTTAAAAATTGGATATGTTCTATATTTGCATTTCAATTGTTCTCCCCTTTCCAGGTTTCTCCTTCAGAAACCTCCTATCCCATCCCCCCTCCCTCTGCCTCTATGAGGGTGCACCCCCTCCCACCCACCCTCTCCTGCCTTCCTGCCCAGGCATTCCCCTACACTGAGGCATTGAACACCCTAAGGCCCAAGGGCCACTGCTCCCACTGATATCCAGCAAGGACATCCTGTGCCACATATGAGGCTGGAGTCATGGGTCCCTCTTTGGTTGGCTGTTTAATCCCTTGGACCTCCAGGGGTTCTGGCCTGTTTACACTATTGCTCCCCACATGAGGAAGG